TTTATATAGATTCTATATGTGTTTATGCAAATTTTGCAATTTTTGTAATGAGGTACATAAACATCGAGGTTTCACGGTGTAGAACATAGATGGCAGCACACACACAGGTTAGGCGATTGTTTCAAGTACAGGGGGAGATTCCTGCATGTCACAGTAGGGGGAAACTTTTTTTTGGTAGCTGTGGGGTAAATCTGAATTTCTCAGTCAGCGTGTATAAATGTTTATTTGGATATATCTGAACTACACAGCAAAAGGGTTAATTAATTATGCTCATTGTGGTTATTAAAATTGGGGGTGCGAAGAGGTAAGTGTTGAATAATTTAGCATCTTAGGCTAACCATGAATAAAAGTCATGAAACAAAAATAAATTATTAAAATCAAAATATTAATTTTCTAAAAATGCCTTATTACTCAATTTACAGTATATTTTGTTGTTAAGCATATAGTTACAAAATGGGCAATATGTGTTCTAATCGCTGTTGGTATTGAAATCCATTTTTTATATCTTTCATTTTAGTAATGTGATTGAAATAAAAAAAAATGGTCAAAGACGAACATTTCAAGTTTTTAATTAGAATTAAATGGTTATAGTTAAGTTTAGAACTTGTAAATGCTGTGCTTGATTTTCAAATTTTGTTTGAAGTTGTCACTTATACAACCATAACACTTGCATTTTATTTTATTTTGGACATCAACAGTACAAAATCATTTTCCTCATGAGTATTCTAACTTCCAAAGATTGAAAAACTGAGTTTGTAACAAGTATATGTTATTAGAGCGGCAGCTGTCCTAAGTAATATTAACTTTAAGGAAAGAAATCTCTGTAGTGTAAAGTACACACACACAATTATTGTTGTAAAACAGCCAAGGCATAAAAATTCACCAATTGTTTAATTGATGTTCATTCTGTATTTATTTAGAAATAATTCTTTATTGGCTGAGGCCATAACCGAATTGCTTTAGACTCCAGCTGTGTTGACTTCAGAAAATGTTAAAAAAAGCTCATGGTAACTAATCAGTCAATGAAATGAAAATACTAATATATGACATTTCTATTTAACATTATATGATAATGTAAAAATGTTTGACTGTTTTCTTTATTAATTTCGGAAAAAAATGGAGGAAGTTTGGACCCCATTCCTTCAGGTCTGTGCCTACTTAAATACTTAATCAAATAATCTGATTTTTTGTGTGCAAAAGACTTAATCTTTACTAAAATCTTGCCAAATTTTGTGAATATACACAAGTGAATTGGGAATTATAGTAAGCATCAGTTTCCAGTAGAGGTGTGGCCCATTGGTCTGAACCTATGTGCATAGGGTTGATACATTATGATTTTGATCTGTATATGTAAAGAATATTTTAATAGCTGACTTATAGTGTCTTATGACTAATTTAGATGAAAGTAGTTAAAAAAATAAAAATTGTATTATTTTTTGTAAGTTAATTTATTTTAGATTTTCGTAACGAACTTCAGTATAGGAGGGTAACATTTGTTAGGTTAAACTTAAGAACTGTTCATAATTTACTGTGTTTAATCTTCAGAATTTAAATAAATATCGTCATCATCTTATATTTAACTACAGTTGAATTTTGACAAAATATGGTTTGTTTACAAGCTCACAAGGAAAATCAGAGTTGATCCACAGACAGTACCAAAGGGCCATTGACAGTTACCATTTGTACTAATGTTGTTGTTTTGTGAATAAATTTCAAGCATTCTTTTGCACACTATAGAACTTTGGGACCAATTGTGGTTGAATGTGTCATACTTGTTAGATTATTAAAATAATGTCAAGTACATATGAAAATTGTTCACTTTCACAATTATATATGTATATCTATTCCAGGAATTAAGAGAGCAGGCCAGTTTGCTGATTGAAGCTCGAGATGCAGCTGTTAGCTCATTGAAAACACTTCATTGTAGTCATAGTGATGCTACAACTTCAACTCCTCAACTAAATGATCTTGAAGATATCAAAAATTTGCATTCAGAGAAAACTCACTTAGAGCAGAAGAACTCTGAGCTTTGCCAAAGAAATAATAATTTACAACGTGATTTTGATGCTCTTAATTGTGAAAAAGAGAATTTAAAGGCTGAAATTACTGCATATAAGCAAAGTTGGGAAATTTCTCAAATTGAATGTGAATCACTGAAACTAAAATTAGATGAAGTGCAAAATGAAAAGGAAGAACTTGTAATGGTTAATAATGAACTATGTAGTGTAAAGGAGCTAAATAACAACTTAGAGAATCGTTTAGCAGATTTATTAAAAGAAAAAGAAACTATGTCTTCTGAACTTGATGAAAAAACTGCTAAAGTAAATGAATTGCAAGAACAACTTCAAAATCTTTCATCAAAACTAAGAGATTCAACAAAAGCTTGTGAAGCTTTTGAAGAGGAAGCAAAAAAACAAAGACTAGAAAATATAAATATTTGCACTGAGTTAGATTCCATTAAAAAGTTTGATAACAATTTGAATGCTAATATGATGGAGTCTTTGATGAAAATCAAGGATCTGGAGAGTGCATTATCTGCTGCTTTCCAAGAAAAACATAACCTTGTGGAGGAGCTGACCCATGTAAAAGACTTACAGAGATTTGTTGAAGATGAAGCTAAAGAGTTTGAACTGGAATGTGAAAAATTAAAAATTGAAATCAAGAGCTTGGAAGCCAATCTGGAGAATGACAGCTTGCACATAAGCAAACTGGAAAAGGAGATAGCAGCAGCAGAAAAGAGAGAGAAAGAATCTCAGCTTTCTTTTGAAAAAGTTCAAAAACAGTTAGAAGAACTTGAGAAAAATTTAGTGAAAGGACAAACAGAATATCAGGAATATGAAGTAAGGAAAACATTGGAAAAAGAACTGGAAAAAAGCACTAAACTAGAAAAAGAAAAACTTGAGTTAGATAAAGAAGTTGGTATGCTTAGTCTTTATATTGATGAGCTAAAAGGAGAGAATAATGAATTAAAATCCAAGTGCCTGCATTTTCAAACATTGTATAATGAATCGCAGCAGGAAAGTAACCATTGCACTCAGTGTGTTGCTTATGAGAAACAAATTGAAGAACTTTCACCTAACCTTTCTCAGCTACAAGAAACTTGTAATGAGTATGAAAAGAATAAAATTTTAATAAAAAGTAGCTTAAATAGTTTTTTTATAGATATTTCAAATTATTTAAATTATGAACTACAAGGAAATGAACAACCTTATGAATCAGAAAAGGATACGTTTAAAATGGAATTAAGTAGATTGGACTTTATCAAAAAAGCAATTCAGATAAACTATAATAGAGCTGAAGAATTCAATATTGAGAAAAAAGAGATTCAGAATCAGTTAATTATGCAAAAAGAAAGATGTGACATTTTACATGAGGAGAAAAATAACCTCATTGAAGAAAAAGAAAAATTAGAAAATAAATATGAGGATCTTTGTAGAATTTGTGATGAACTGAAAAAAAAGTTAAATGTTATGGAACGTGACAGTGAATTAAATGTCAATGAAATTATAAAAGAATCAACATTACTTAGAGGTGACTCAAAAGTACAGGCATCAGAAGCCAAGCAAGGTACTTTAGTACAACTTGAAGAATACAGTAAAATGGTGAAAGATCTGGAAATTGAACTCAGTGAATCAAAACAAAAAGAAACCAGGGTAAATCAGTTATTGACAGAAAAGACAGACCTTTTACATAAGATAAACAAACAGTTAGAAGAAAAAGACCAAGATCTGATTTCGGCTGTATATAAATTGAAAATTTCTGAAGAATGCATAAAAAACACAGATAAAGAGTTAAAAGAATCTAAAGAGCAATGTAGTGAACTGTTTAACAGAAACCAAAATTTGACTAGTCAACTTGAAGAGCACCAGGATTGTCTTCACTTTAGGGAAAAAATAAATGATTTGACTAAGAACCTTCAAGAATTAGAAAATACAAACCAGCATCTTCAAATGCACATTAGCAGCTTAAATGAGAATTTAGAGAATAAAGTGAAAGAAATAGAATGTGTTTTACACGAAAAAGAAGAGTTGAGACAAGAGAAACTGAGTAGTCTTCAGCAAATAGAAGAGTTGAAGGAAGAAATTCAGCAATTAACAATTAATTTGGTAGAAGTACAGCAGAGCCTAGAAAAGATGAATGTTGCAAAATCAGAATTAGAAGCCAAACTAAACATGGTGAAAGTTACAACAGACAGAGAAGTACAGGTAGAAATTTATTTAGAAAACAGTGAAGATATTTATAAGACTAATATTTCTTTAGAAAAAGAAATTGAGAGCTTAAAGTTGAAGTTTGAGGCTCAAGTGGCAAAGATGAAGTCTCTAGAAGAGGAAAATGCAGATTTGCAACAGCATAGTTATAAATTGCAAGATGCTTGCAACCAGGCTTGGGAGGAAGAAAAGACACATTTATACACGCAATTACAGCAACAGATAAATATTTCTGATAAATACAGTAAAGAGAAAATGGATATGTTTCAGACTTTAGAAGAGCTAAAAGTTAAAGTAATTCCACAGTTGGAAGATGAGGTCAAAAATTTAAATAGCCAATTGGAAAAAGTAAAATGTGATCTCACTGAAGTTGAGACAGAGAAATGTAAGTTGCTAGAAGAACTTAATTTATTAAAAACTGCCCCTAATTCCTCACAAAAGACTACAGGAAATCAAAGCACAGATACATCTATAGAACTATGTCAACGTTTAAAGGAAACAGAAGAAAAGATGGCAAAGTTTAAGGCTGTAGCTATGAAGGTCAAGAAGGAACTAGAGGAAACTAAAAAAAGGGTAAGAGTGTATCATAAAGCTAGTTATTCAGAAAAGTGCATGTGTTTTATTGCAGTTGTTTATGAAGAGAATATTACTTTTACGTATGTCAAGAACTGTAGTTTGAGTGTGGAACACAGACCCTTAAAATAATATGTAAAATACTGCACATGTTGAACGTTTTAAGTATGACCATGATGGTTTGTTGGAAACTCACATTTCATTTAACATCTGCCACACAGGCCAGTCCAGCATATCTTACTATTGAGTTTAGGATGGTCAACAGGGGGTCATTCCAAAAACCAGTGATTTAGAGTTGTTTTGATAGATCTTGATGAATGAATATCAGCACAACTTCTAAAATGGAAGAAAAACTAAATATTAAAGAATATATGACATGAAATCTATATGGATTATACTATGGTAGTACCATTCTTGGCATTATACCAACATTCTTATATTTACTTTTTATTGCAGAAATGACATTTTTAGTTTGATAAGTGCTACAGAAATCATCTTGTAATGTATCATGCATCTGCTTCAGCTTCAACACTGTGGCATTAGTTTCAAAACATATTGTAACTAATGATTTCTTATGTATGATTCCACCTTTTGAAAATAATGATACTATTGTGCCAGTTATTTTATGTTTCACTATCAAAGCATTAATCAGTTGATGAATCTCAGATTCATCTGGTATGTCATATCGATTGGTATATCGTTGAATAATGGTTTCCCTCATCTGATCTGGACCTGCTGTTTAGCATAATTGCTACACTTAAGCCATCATATTCACAACCACATATAGAACATTTCAAGCATGTTTCATTGCTACATCATTTTACTTTACATTTACAAGTTAATTTTTCCTTGTGGGCTCTCATGGCCTTGGATCAGTTCATGGGTCTGGTCAAGTGATCTAGACCTTGAAAATAGTGACAAACATCTTTTTGTTTAATCAAAACAACTCAAACCTTTCTGGGATGACTGCTTTTTTAACCACATCAAGATGTCAGGCTGGCCCATGTGGCAGGTGCTGGAAAGTTGAATTTTTATTTGCCATGTAATTTAAGTACAATCATATCTAGAATATGTTAAAAATAACAATATTATTAATACTTATGCCTATGTGTATTAAAATTTAGTTGACTGGAGTTACTGAAGAGAGAGACATGTTTCAAAAGAAAGTAGAAAGTTTGACAAGAGAGACTCAGGAGCTGTACGAAAATTCTCGTCAAGCTGTTCTTAATTTCCAGGTAAAAACATTCCTTGCCTATAGTTTGAATTCACAGGGAGGCAAATTAAATTGGAAAAATGTGGAAAGATCAGAGAATTTAAAAAAGGGGAAAAAAAAATCAGATGTGATTAAAAAATTAACCAAAAAATCTGGAAAAATGAGAAGTTGTAACCCTCTTTTTATTTATATATATATATCCTGGAGCCTGCAGGAGCATGAAAACCATGCTGCTTAGGTGTGCCAGTTATTGATACATTGTAACATAACCTTGGTCAGTCACTCTATTGCTATAGCTCATGATGATTATTTAATTCATTATATCTGATGAGAGGTTAGATCAAATATTGTTTTATAAATAAAAATGCAATGTTTTATTAACTGTCAAGTTGAATGCCTTTGTTTGAAGATCTGTAGTATCATAGTCTGAAGTAAATATATTTTTGAAGTTTTTGCCTTTTATAACCATAACCAAGTGAAAGTGGTGTTGATTAGGCATAATTATGAGGAAAAGTGTGTGAGCAGGTCTGAAAAATCTAGTACTGGGCTTAGAAGGTCAAAGGAAATTTATGGAAAATATGTTTTTTAAAATAATATGGCACTCTGATTCACTACTTTACATTCTTAAATTTCCATTTGCATATTTTATTTGATCACATTTTGGTTCGTAACTAGGGATGATATTTGTTTATTCATGTTTGTACTATCATAGAAACTGTGCATTTTAGGTTTTGTCTTATAGAACACTACAGAGACAAAGTGCTGTTTTTTAAGGATGCTAAATATATAATGAGAGTATTTTTACAAAGCAATAAATTATTTAAAATACATGAACTAAAAATAGTTTGTTTTAATTTTCAGTAACTTGCATGTAAATCAGGTGTTTTTAAACTTTCAATGAAATGTTTTTAAATGTGATATGTAGTTAAGAAAACTTTGATATTTTTTCACTTTCGTGAAAATAATAATAAATAGATAAATTTGTAATATTACTCCCCTTACTTCATAATTATGAATTGTGTGAAATTATTTGATCCATGCTTAAAACAACTGAGAATTAGTTTCAAAAGTACATAATCAAGGAGTAGTATTTCAATTACTTTATTCCGTATTGATGCAGCACAATTACAGATTCTCTGATACTTAAGTAAGGAAGTAAATTATATTAATATAATGATGAGTTGGCAAGCATAATGAAGTGATTATTTATGAGGGTAATATACTAGATTTTTTGACAGGTTGTTGGTCTGTCTTTATACCTGAAGAAGACAGTCCATTGTTGTGTTGAAATATGTAGTATGTTCCCCACAAAACAAGTCACTTTATTATGCTGATAGACAGCTGTTTGCCAACATATTATTATATTCTCTGATAAAAAAAAACTGATACACTCTGTTATACTGATCTGTGTGTATTAAATACATTGTTTTAGGCCTGTATTACTTGAATATTAGTTTGGTCTGTGCTGCCATACAAATATTTTACATAAGTTTGAAATATATTTTTTCTATATATTTTCTTTAATATTTTTGAAAATGCAAGTAGTTTAAAATCTTCTAAATAAGTACTTTAACACTTACTAATTTTTGTAAGTGTTCATAGAACTAGCTTTCACATTAAGCTATTACAAGTTGTTACAAAATCAGTGTATGCCATCATATGGAATTAATTAATTTGGTACTTTACTTTCATTCATTTATTTATTTTATATCTTACTTAATTTGTTAAACATGTAGTCTGGTACATTAAGCCTAAGTAAGAATATTATTGAACATTATAAGAATTTTTTTTTCAGATGTTCAGTGTACTGAACATAAAATGTATTGAATACTGACTCACTGCAAACCAAAATTGTCAAAGTCATAGTACCACATCCTCTGAGAAAGATAATTAAATGTGTAATGCATCCAGTTGTAGCTAACAGTGGTCACACCAAACTTTATTGACTGAAACTCCTATCACTACCATCATGATACTACATTGTAAATGTATACTGAATAGCAGAATGTATCTTCTGTTTCCGGAAGTGCTTTGGTTTTATGTGAATAAAAATAAGCACGTAATAAGGATACTTCTTGAACATGTAAAATTATTAGGTAACAAGTACTTATGTTATTCATTAAAAAAACTTCATTTTTGATATGCATATATACTTTCTTTATATGCAAACTCAAGCAATTTTATATAGGACAGAGGTATGAAGAAAAACGTGCAGGCTTATGAAACATGTACTATACAAATAAAACATCTGGTTTAGTTTTGAATATAATTCTTTTTATTTACATGTGATTGAGATTCAGACATATTTTTCCATTAATAATTTTTTTTTTTTAGCTAGCAGTTGTTTTTGGCAAACTATTTATGCTTAAGTTTATGTATAAGAAAGAAGAACTTGAAATTAGTTAAAATGATGTACAAATAGTTTGTTTAAAAACATGTTTTTAAAATATGAAACATTTTTACAAAGGTAATTGTAAAAAAATCTCTTTACAGTAGGTTATGATTTATGGAGTTTCTTAAAAACTAAAAATAATTGAAATTGTTCAGTCAGTAATTTATGAAAAGAAGCATATAAAATTTAGTGATCCAAAATATATTTTTAAGTTAAGAATTACCATAAAAACTTGAAAATAGAAAAAAATAAATTCTAAACTTTTGATCAAAGCGAGCTACGTACTTAGCTCAAAACTAGAACTAAACTTAGTAATGAGTATAGCTAATTAAACTCACTTTTCTTACATTCTTACTTACATAGGTTAGAATGCACTGTTTCATCAGTTAGCACTGTAGCTGTTTATGATATTTTTGGTAGGAAAGAGCAAACACAACCTAGCTCACGTAGCATTCAGTTTCTGTTAAGTAGTGCAACATGTTAAAACTACAGGCTGAAACCTGATGAGGGAGAACCTCTGTCATCTACTACTTTATATTGCCCTCCCTTATGTCTGTATTACCCCAAACTAACTTGTGGCATTATTATCCTACATGAATCAACTGAAGCCTAATGGTTAGTGTGCTTTATTGTGGATCTAAGGCTCAGTTGTTCATGCCACATTGACATCAAAAATAAAGTAATTGCTCTTTGAGCCAATGGATGCATTATAAGAGTGACAGTCAAATCCCACTATTTGATCTGACAATAGTAGACCAAGTTTTGTCAATAGGTGGGGTTGACCAGTTGCATTCCCATTAGCTTATCACTTCAGTATTAGGAATGGCGAGTAAAAACAAACCTCAAGTAGCTTTGCACAAAATTCAACAAAGAGACGAATCATCCTACAGATGGGGGGGAGGGGGAGGAGATAGTGTTTGCCAATAAGAATTTTGTTTTTCTCTTTCATATGGTTTTTATTTAGCTCAATACAACATCTAGTATTCTATGTATATTCCATTTTCTTTTATTTAATCCCCCTTTTTAAGTATTAGGTTTTCATTTAAAAGCCTTATGAACAAGGATTGTATAAGATAATTGTCCTTAATTTTTAGAGCTTGCAGGAAGAGTATGATAAATTGCAAGATGAACATGAAGTAACAAAAAAGTCATTAAAACAAGCTGAACAAGATGTAACCTCCTCAGTTACAGAGCTGAACAAAGTTCGGGAGCAAGTAGAAAATGTGAGACTTGAAAGAGATCAAATACAAAAAACTGCAGATGCCCTCCAGGCACAGAAGAAGGTACATATTTATAAAATACTTGTAGTAGTATGCAAGATTTACTTACACTAGTTATTTACATAGAAATTTCCTTGTATATATTTTTTATGTATTTTTTTTTGCATCATTGAGAATGAGGGAGTTGGTGAAACCTACAAAATACAAAAATTTGAATAACTACAAACATAGATAGATATAAAATTAGGATTTGAGGACTTTAGATGCTGGTTAAAGGCTATAAGTGATGTCTTCTCAAACTTTTGTATCAATTAGTTGAGGACATCTGCATAGATATATGTAATTAAATAAAACCATCCTTGCTTAGAATAAAGTATGATTTGGAAGTTAAACTATCCTTAACAATCAAGCTATAGCGCTAAAGTGTCTGCATTCACAATAATCTATCTTAAAATGGAAATAAATTAAGTTGAAAAATGTTTTGTGTGTGTATATATATATATATATATATATATATACACACACTATCCTACCAAATGTCATGGGACACACCTCTGATTGCAGGAAAATGGGTGTGATGAGGAAATATGCAAATAGTTTGGCCCATAAAGGTGATCAGCGGTTCACTTGGAAGTCATTTTGGACTTGTACACTGAACGATGAGTACTTGGGAAGGATAGTTGGATGTCAATTGGGGAAAATGTCTGTGCATGCTATTGCGCAACAATTAAACTTTCCCAGGTTGACAGTTGGCAATGTGCTGAAGAAATAGAAATCCACAGGTGAAAATGAGCCCATGAAACAAACGGTTAGGTGTAAAATATTGACTGACAGGAGATGACTTGCCTTGAGAAGGCTGGTTACCTCATCTCTCTGTCAGACTGCAGAGAATCTGTGTTTGGAGATATGAACAGCCACAGACAATCCAATAAGTGTTTCAACAACAAGTTGACAGCTGCATGCTATTAATTTTTAAGGAAGAGCTGCAACCCACAAGCTGTTGATAACAAAAACAAATGCACACCGTTGATTGACATGGGGCAAGGCACACCGAACCTGGATCAATGGAAATCAGTCCTGTGGAGTAATGAGTCATGCTACACGCTCTTCCACTTTGATGGATGTGTTTCGGTATGGAGGATGCCTGTAGAATGCTTATTACCTGAGTGTGTTGTCCCAACAGCAAAGTTTGGAGGTGGCGGTATCATGGTCTGGAGGTGCTTTCTCATGGTATGGACTAGGTTCACTGGTTGCAGTGCATAAATCCAAGAATGTTGAGTCCTACATTGATGTTCTGAACAATTCTGTGTGTCCTACATTATGGTAATTTTATGGTACCAGCCTTTACACTTTCTGACATAATAATGCTCCATGTAATAAAGCTAGGATTGTGAATGCATGGTTTGAAGAGAACAACATCAGAACATTGCAGTGGCCAGCACAGTGCCCCAATCTTAACCTGATAGAACATCTTTGGGAGGAACTGGAATGCAGAATTAAGACAATACTAAGATGGCCCTCTTCAGTAGTGGAGCTTACTAATGCTTTAAAGGACGAGTGGAGCACAATACCACCAGCTTTCTACCAGAAATTAGTAGACAGTCTTCCACGATGCATAAGTAGTTATTAAGGCCAAAGGTGGGCCAACATGCTATTAATTTCTTGGAATAAAGACATGTTTTATTCATAACTACCCATATCCCATGACTTTTGGTATGATAGTATATAATTATATTATAATATAATCATGTAATTTTGCTGGCATTGAAGATTGGGTTCCACTTTGTATTGCATTAACTGTCTTAAGAATATTTTCAAAAACTTTGCTCACCAGTTATATTGCATAGGTATTAGTAAACAAATTGACATTATACATCTATATAACTGTATCTTTATAGTTCTTGTAGTTTAGCATGTTATAAAGACAAGCAAACATAACATTATATTCTGTATTCTGAAATACATGTAAAGCTTTTGTAAGTGTACAGATTAGTACTCTGCACCAGTTGTTCAAGAATCATGGTTTGAGTAATATAACACTGTTCAGTCAACTCATCTGGTATCAGAAGAATTGGTGAAAAATGGAGATGAAAATTTGGTAGTTTTTAAGATTTGTTTAACACTTAAGGTTAGACATAAAGTATAACATTTCAGTGTTTATTTAATGTAAAAAAAAGTGTTTTAAATATATTTCTGTTTACTTGCATATTAGAAATTAATAATGACAATTTCGTTACTTGTGAAATTACATGACAGTCACAGACTTGAAACATTGTTTTATTAAGTTGGTACAGCTTTGTAGGTAGGAAATACTAGAGTTCAAATGTATCATTAGACTAATGAAAATCCTAGTAGTCACTTACCAGTTGAATATTTTTATTCACACACATGTATGTACATTGTTTTGACAATGAATATTTCTAAAGTGACATTATCAATTGACCTATGTTATTCAGGTTTTGGAGCAAAGCAAGACAAACCTAGAGGAAAGAATAGTTGTTTTAGAAGCAGAAAAAAATTTAGAGCTGAAGAAACATGAGACAACAAAGTGTGATTTTAAAAAACAAGAAGAAAAAATTGCCTCTTTGGGAAAAGAATTGGAAACTCAGAAGGAACTTTGTAAAGTAAAAGTGGAAAAACTTGAAGAGGAGCTTAAGGTAAATGTACACACTAAGCTACAATATATTAGTCTATAGTAAACACTGAATTATCCAAAGCTGGTAATGTTCCAACAGGAAAAATATGTATTTTTTTTCGTGGAAACCCTTAAAAATGTATATAACTGCTGTCGTGTTCAGCACTCTATACAATCACCTAAGTCTATTTATTAACAAAAGATATACTGTGCAAATTTTATACTGTTTAGAAGCTCATCAAGCAGTTTCAGAAATATTACTTGTACAAAATGTTTAAGTTTCATCTTTTAAACAGTTTACATCTGTGCTCATCATAGTTTGCTCACTTGTTGTTTCTGACTTGATTCTAACTTAATTTTATTTATTTGGACTGAATAATCTGCCTATAAATAAACTTTTTATTGCATCATAGATACATACAATGAGGAAAGTGAATTCACATTTGTAGCTTTTTACCTACGTGTAAGTTTTGGCATGGAAAGTTAAATGATGAGGATGTAGCTTAAAAAAGAAGATAAAGTTGTATATCTTTATTTTTTAAATGCTTTAATATTTTGAATATAGACTGGTGTACAATGCTTGAAAGAATTATTGCACACATTTGAAATTAGAGTTTTCATACCATGTTATGGTTTCTCTTAGTATAGTTGATATGCAAATTTGCATACCACCACTTGTCATGTGGCAATAATGCTTATATCTGTTAAATAAAAAACTTTTCTGAATTCATTACTTTCTAAAAGTAATTATTTGTGTTTCTTGTTTTATCAGTAACTTTACAGTGTTTTTAATCTTAGAGACTTGTACAATACTTCTAGGGTTAACCTAGCTCCTTCTCTAGGGGATGTAAGCCAAAACTTGCAAATACTTTTGTTGCTATAAACTGCTGTTGTCTATGCAATTAATGCAACTGAAAGCCATTGGCTTCTGTTTCACAGTTTCACATTTGACACAGGCTAAGTGTGAAACATGTTACCATACATTAGCACAGCCCATGTAGAGTAGTTTAAAAAAAGGTACATATGTGTTTAAACATTCGTGTTTGTGTATAATATATGTAGTTAATACAACTAACATGTAAAGAGACATGTATGACATATATAGTTGCAACCCATTTTGGCTTAAATTATTGCACCTTTTGTTTTTTACCAGTAAATTTAAGGATAGTTAGTGGTTTGTTATTATGCTTACTACATGTACACTGTACTGAAATCTGAGAAATACATCCTGTTTTTGCAATTTTAAGATTTCAAGTTATGTTTGACAACTTTAACTTACAATGAATTTTTCCTAAAATTCATGAAACCTTCAGAATTTCTTGTTTTTACATGTATTTTTTGTTTTTCATTATTTGCACAAGCAAATTTGGCTGTGGGAAGAAATATCATTCATGCTTATTGTAATAAACTAGTTTGAATAAGTTCTGTTCAGCTTGACTTAAAACCACTTGATTAGTTTATTTATCAATTCATGATCCTGAACGAGATATGCATTTGATAATCTTGTGTTACTGTTCATAGCAAGTGACAGTGAATCAATAAAGTATAAAAAGGGAAATACAGTAATTTATCATTTTTATATGCACTGTAGTTGCACTTCCTTATTTTACTTCCTAAGTGCATTGAAATGATTTTAATTTAAAACTTTCAATTTGTTTTAGGAAGCCAAGAAAAATGCTCACAGTTTACTTGATTTAGAAATGGCAGATTATGAACGAACTATTTCAGAACTTAATCAGCAGTTGAAACAAATGTCTACAGAAAAAGAAGAAATCAATGAAGAGCTCGTTAGGCTGAAGGAGAAAATTTCAGGACTTCAGGGAGAAATTGGTAATATAGATGCTTATAGGTTACCTCCATGTTTGCTGTTTGTAAGACAAAACTTGTGCAAAATTCATAATTAAAAATGTAATTAAATTTAACATTCATTGTTAGTAGAATGTAAGGTAAATTACAGTAAACACTGATACATTTTTTATTATATGGTTTACCTATACTGTTATGTAAGAAAAGAAAACTTCCTCTTTGAATATTTAGTTATTAACTATTATCCTTGACTGTCAAAGCATTATAAATGTTTTATTTATAGTGAATTTTACCTATGAGTGACTTTCAAGTATTGAGTATACACCTGTGTATAAAATTTCAAAATTTGAGTAAAAAATAGTTCTTTCTTTATGTAATTTAACTTGGAAATGTTTTAGAATGAATAATTTACAGTTACGAACAAAGGAATCCAATGGGAAGTTTAGAATAAACTACAGATTTAAGAATCTTTTTTAGTTTCTGTAGATGTTATTTTCGTTTTACATTGTATGTTTGAAAGCTACAAGACGTCAGGTAAACATAATTAGGTTTGGCAAATATAGTAGGTCATGGCAAAATATTCCTATGACTCAGTTCCTTATTTATTGATTAATGTTGCTAACTTCATTGTTATCAAACAACACACACACAAATTAATGAAATGATTACACAGGCCTGTGATGGTTTTATTGTCTTGAAAATTTTTACATGTTCTACACTAATTCCATTTTTCTCCATCATGTACAGATTTTTAACAAAATGTCATATGTACTTTTACACAAATGAATCATTTTTATTGAAATCTGGTCACATTTTATTATGCTTAAAATGTTGACAACCACTGGCTATAGATTTCTCCAGACCAATTGCAATGTGAGAGCCTTATTGATCATTCTAGAACCCACGAGAGAAACACTGCTAGTATATAAATGGTTAACAAGCTACATGATTTGTCATTTCTGGATAGTATTTGTTTGTGTGTGTGTACTTTTACCTTATTTTGTGTTTTCAGTATTATTTATTTGTCATTATGGCATCATGAGGTTGTGTAAATGACCCAAACATATTCTGTTATATTTGGGGTTAATTTATTGTAAAGAAACAAAGGCATAACATTACAGAGTTCATCAAAAAAGCATATTACTCATATTTTGGAATAAAATTTGGGGACCAAGACAAATCATGAGCTCTGCACAAGATTTGTACCGTTTGTGTCGAAGAGTTGAGACAGTGGACTAAAGGTAAGAAAAAAGTCTTTGCCTTTTGGAATTCCAATGGTGTAGCATGAGCCTAGAAACCACAGAGATGACTGCAAGGCTACAACACTTGAAATAGAAAGGAAATTTCTTATCCAAACTTTCAGTCTGCTATAAGACCTGTTGCTCATGGGCTTGATGTACCTGTACCTACTCCACTAGAGATTCTTGATAGTTTCATCTGATTCTGAATCTGATGTCAATAGAAATGATGATAGGGATTGTTTTCAACCTGAAACATCTGGTAAACCACAACTTTTCACACAAGGTGAACTTAATGATATTGTGAGAGATTTGGGCCTTCCAAAGGATTCTTCAGAGATTTTGGGGTCCAGACTTTGGGCTAAGAACTTACTTTATCCAGGAACATCATTTTATTGGTACAGAAATCATGAGAAAGAGTTTATACCATACTTTTTGCACGAAGGTTCACTGATTTATTGCAATAATATTGCTGAATTAATATCAATGCTAGGAGCTGCAGTCTATAAACCAAGTGAGTGGCAATTGTTCATTGACTCCTCCAAAAGAAGTCTAAAAGGTGTTCTTCTTCACAATGGTAACATTGAACATGAAAGAGAAAGTCCTATTACGTCCACTTCACATAAAACTGGGCTTGATGAAGCAATTTGTAAAGGCCTTAGACAAAGATGATGACTGTTTCAAGTACCTGTATGGGCAATTCCCAGTTCTTTCAGAAGCAAAACTTAAAAAAGAGATTTTTGTCAACCTCAGCATAAGAAATTGAATTTGGATGAACAGTTGGAAAGGACAATGAGGAAAGTTGAAAAAGAAGCATAAATTGCCTGTAAAGATCTTATTGAAATTTTTTCAGGAAACAACAAGAACCCAAATTACAAAAATAGTGTCAATAACATGCTTGATAAATTCAAAGAGTTGGGTTGTAAGATAAGCTTTAAAGTTAATTTCTTAAACTCACATATTGACTATTCCCCTGAAAATCTCAGTACCATCAGCAAAGAACAAGGGGAAAGGTTTCATCAAGATTGTAATGGACAGTGTCCTTAGGACTAATTTTTGGAGCTTCAACTGTACTGCCGATTACACCAAATTTATTTAGTTGAGGATTGCAGTGGCGAGTGGAGCTCAAAAGTCACTAACTCAAGGAGATTTACAGTTAGACTAAACAAACTGATCCTAAGACTGATATTAAACACAATACATCAAGTTTATTTAAGTTTCTCAACATAAGCTACACTTCTTTAATCATTTATTTGGTTTAAGAACACTAGTAATTATAACTCATATATATAGCATCAAGTTTCTTAGATTTTATATGCTTCTTTAGAGTCTATCCAAATTCACATTAATTGATTATGAGAGAAATAGTTTCATTACTTACAACATAGTTGATCTGGTAAATCTTTGCAGCTGGGAAACTTTCATAGCTTCTGGATTATCAGTAACTCTGGAGAGAATCTCAATTCTTCCTGGAGAGAACTAATTTTTAGCTCCAGACACGAGTTTTTAAACCATAATTTCTTTGTAATATTTTTACTTTCCAAATAGTATTTCTAACTACTTGCAAGTAGTTCTAACACTTTATTGGTCAATCTGTGCAACTCTCCGGACTAATCCAAAACAAAAATCAAAACTCTCAAGTAATTGTTACTGTGATGGTGAGTGCTCCAGTTGTCTTTTTACTTGTACTATTACACTGATCTGGAGTAACAGATCTTGCATCAAAGTGCCGATTTGGGATGTTATCATAAACATTTTAGTAGCCTTTACTGTACTACTAACTCAGCATCGGTAAGTTATCACTGTCAAACTTATGGCTAGCATTTTTCTTAGCATCTCTGTTGTGGCTTTATTTTTTATAACTCTTTACTCATGATTCACTACCTCATGATGCTCAATACCACTTAACCAGCTAGCTGTAATTTCCTAGCTCTTGACCTTATTTCGTAACACAGGCTTCTTCTACTTACGCCATTTCTTCATGTGTATGTTCACTTAAAAACTCAGAAAATCGTTATAACTTCTTTCTTAAATTCTTTTAAAATACTAAAAACACTGAAGCAATTGTAAAATTCCCTCAAAAACATCCAGTTGCTTCAAGATATTAGAGAAATGGAGATGTGGTATCAGGGAAGACGGCTGATTACTGCTGGTCATTGAAACGAGATGTTCCAGATGCAATACACAAAAGAAAGACCACAACATCTAGTTTTGAGCCTAAAAAGACGTAGATTTCACAAAAAAAAATCAGGATAAACAAGGATGCATATTTGTTTGACATCAATGTTCTTCTCTGTTCTTCAGTTTGTGTGTGTTTTTGTTAACAAACATAATAATAAAATATGTAAAAAATCCGTAAGTGATAGAAAAAAATTGGATATTATTTTAGAAATTTGTGTAGCTGAATTATGGAAAATCCATTATTTAAAACCAAAACAACTTTTATGAAGTTTATATTTGCAGGCAAGTGTTATTTATTGAAAAGAATCTAGCTTGATAAAGGTAATGGTAAAACCATTTTGAAAAGGGAGGTTCTACATCAGTGATAAATTTGTATCAGTTTCTGCCATTGTTTTTATGATTTATAGCCACTTGTGTCAAAATAAAGTATCAGAAGAATTGTATTAACGAATATCAATCAAATTTAATATCACTGGATATATAAACTGGAACTTTCTGGTTATGAAAACAAAATTATAAGATGGGAGTATTTATAATGATTTTGTAACTTTTCAATTATTAAATATTTTTGTTTTTGCTCATTGTGACCCAAAATGTCCAATGAACAAAAGAGCATTTGTTCTCTCATGATTAAATACATATCAGGTTTTGTAGTTGGATGTCCTGTATTTTAGGATGATTGAATAAAATTAATTTTATACTAAAGTTCATAAAACGCATATTTATATTCAATGATGATATAGAAAACTATCATGTTTTTAGAACATCTTGATAGTCAGCACCAGCTGGAAGAGGCAAGAGCAAATAATTTAAAAGAAACTCTGGATAGGACTAAATCTGAATTGTCAGCGGCAAGGAACAATGAAACTGACCTACTTCATACTGAGGCTAAGTTAAAAAATCATCTAGAATCAGCTTTACAAAAGAGTGAAGAGCTGAAAGTAAGAGTTAGGCTTAGAATTTTGATTTTAACAGTAGTAATTTAATTAAGTCAGTAAGAAATTTATATATAAATACATATCAATAATATTAGGGAATAAGTATTTGGTCTGTTTCAGTATGGCTGCTTGAATTATTATGGAATAATTGTAAGCTAAATCATTATGTAATTAATGGCTAAGTCATTTAAATTTGTATTGCAAATTATATGTATTTCATTGATGCATCCAGCTGCAGATGTTTAGCATGTGCTGAAAACAGTTATCAAAAGATTTGCTATTTTGTTTCTATTACTTTAAATTGTTAGTAAGTTTGTAACAAGATATTTAGTAAACAAAAAGTTCTCACGATTAAATATTTAGAAACTTACTATTATAAGCTGGTATAGCTATGAAAAGTTTAATTTCATCAGTTTCTTTTCTTATTCTTTTTGTATAATTAAAAATTTAATATTTTTCAAGATTCATATTTCATCTCCTTTAGGTTCAGTTGTCAGAAAACATGCTGGAGAACCAAAGGCTCTCAGACCTTTTAAAAGTTAGCAAGGAAAACCATGTGAAAGTAGTGAGGTCTTTAGAGAATAAGGTGTTGCTACTTCAGAAGGATGTTAAAATAGCCCAAGAAGAACTGGAAACTTCAAGGAAGGAGTTTGAAAGTTACAAAGTATGATTAACCCTATGTGTATGGCTGGGTGAAAGTGTGCATGTCATGACCTTTTTACAGTTATATTCAAAATCTAATTAACTGTTATAATATGTTAATAAACATGGCAATAAAATGTAGATTATAATTCAAATTTTAATATTATTTAAGTTTTAATTTCATAATTTAAAAAAGAAATATTTAAATAAATTTCTAATCTTCATTTATGTGTATCATGTGACACTTATGTGCTCCTATTGTCATTTTAGATTTTCCTTCTACCTCTATATGATCTTCTTTGTGTGGCACAAATTACACACTTGTTGTATCGATACTGCTAAGCCATGTTGAAAACATATAGCCTCTAAGCTTCTTGCTTTATTGTGATATAAACAAGAAACTCAAACCCACGTACCATGCCCATCCATCTTATCCTGTCTTTCAAAAAATGTCTGACATTTGCTGTTGGATTATTTATAACCAATAGAAAGAGAAGATTTTGATTTACTAAATTTTCTACAGTGCTAGTTTGCTCAGGTGCCAGATTTGGAAATGTTTGTCTTCACTTTCATTGTTTACCTTTGTGGTATTTGGCCTGACCAGCTAGTGGAATTTCTTAAATCCATTTATAGCTCAGTTAAAAAGCTAGTTAAATTATAGTATTTTGGGGGCATACTATTTCTTGTGCATAACAATATTTTGTTTTAAATTTCATTCTTGAAATAAAAAATAATTATATTTTGGAACACCAACATTTTTACGAAAAAGGAGGCTTATGGTGCTTTGGCTACTGGCAGTGAAAATAGTTCTGACATTAAAAAGCTATTTCTTGCTTTGAATATATATTTTTTATTTATTGTTTATTATTAGAAACTAATTAGATTTAGAAAACCTAAATAAAAAGTTTCTTGTGATACTCCATCCTGGTATACATAAATTGCAAGGTGTGATTGTAATTCAATTGTGGTGCACTTGTAACTTGATCATTTGTTTATACAAAATTGTCTGGCTATAATAAATGGCTTTTGGCATACTCTGAGGTTGTCCAAGTGTAGCTGTAAAACAATAAAACTAAATGAACCCAGATTTAAAAAATCTATTAGCTTTGGTTGTAAGAATAAATGCTGTTTAATTGTCTGTTACAATATGCAGTCATTCTAGGGTAAAAAAGGGTAATTTTAGTTTTTTTTATTTTACCCTACATTACTGATTATACTACATCAAAACTAAATTCATAATTAAACTTACTTTACATAATTAGTATTATTCATGCTTTAATTTCTCTATATTGGTATTATTTCCTATACATTTTGTCACATTATCTTTTTTTCTACTTCCCACCACCCTTTGCTGTTATTTTATTTTTAATTTGATCTTTGTGTAGATTGGTTAACATTTCTTATAACTATTATCACACATAAGTCTTTTATGTACTATACACACCTCTTTTGGCCCCCCCAGTGGCATGTCTATGGACTTACAACACTAGAATCCGGGTTTCGATACCCATGGTGGGCAGAGCACAGATAACCTATTGTGTAGCTTTGTGCTTAATTACAAACAAACAACACACCTCTTTTGCACAAATTAAACCTTACACCAACAACTCTAGGTTATGATTGACTAGTTCTCAAGGCTAACTCATATTGAACATCCAATTTACATGGTGTTGACATCTGTGCCTATATATTTCATTACACTCATTAATGCTATACATAACAGTGTTTACTGTAATTCCACACTTACTAAGTGTAGATTCACAAAATTATCAAGATTTTTGGTAAACATTACAAGTACGTTGTATATAAAAAATCAGAATTTTTAAGAAAGTATTTTTACAAAGTATTTGTCTGTAAATTTACTAAGTCAGTCTGACTAATCTGAAAGCAAGATGATTTTCATGTTAAGAATAAAAAACACTTGTTTCATCTTACAGTTAGTAATATTTAATTTGCAGAACCTTTAGGATTTCCTAAATGAATACCAAGTTTTTTAAATTTTATCTGTTATTTTCTCTACCCTAACACTAACTGTAGTACAGGTTTGCAAACAATACCCAAAACTTCAGCACTTTTGAATAGTTCATTATTCTTCTTCAGGAGAATAAAGGGTTATGTTTACAGAACTTGGATTGGCATAAAGCACTAATGCTGTTCTCATAGGGTTAAGCAATATACCAACTGGGTATTTTAATTTTCTTAGAATCTCTAATTTGAGTGTTGTCTGTAACATTTGTTGAAATGAGATATTCTTAGAAACATAATGCTCATAATGTTCTTATGGTCTGACTATATAAAATGTTTTGGAGTAAAGTTTTAAATCAAATGTTGATATGGTGTGAATTTCTAAAGATAAATTATAGCTTTTCCAGAACACCAGTGATGAATATAAAATAATGTAATAGATTAATAAATGCAATGACTATTTTTTGTGTGCATTAAAAATACTACTGGATTTAGAAGTGGGTCTAGAAGATGGAGCTAGTTGTCTTAAAGGATTATCTGAAAATTTCAAGCTTCAGAAGTTTTATACTTAATTTTTAGTTGTGGCATAGTGGCCCATAGAATGGCTCTGAGTTGTTTTTTTTCATGTACAAACTTTTAGCTCATAGCTTCGTTATCTCTTGACCTATTTGAGATCTAATTACAGTTTTGGACTCAGGAGGTCAAACCCGTTTGATTGATGTATTTCACATTGCCCAAGTTCTCATAGATTAGTTTACTTTAGTCCAGCCTAAAAGAATTTCAATTTTAGGGTAGGTTGGTAGAGATTCTGATGAGTAATAAAATCTAATTGGGTATACGTACACCCATTGCTTGATATTGCTAGTGCACAAAAATAGCTAATAAAAAGGAAAAAAGGTTTCGTAGATTAATTTACTCTAATCCTGCTTAAAAAATGTCAAATACCATGGCTGTTGAGGATTCCCTCTTGTTGAGCATTTTATATGTTTATGTCAGTGATACTTTTAGTTTTATAATTTAACAATTTGTATGTTTTTGGAAAGCTCATTTTACCATGTTAATTTACAGCAGTTAATTCCATAATATACTTTAACAAGAAAGAGTAGTGATTGGTAAATGTTGAAAAGTTTGTTATCTCTAAAGTGAAAAAATAATTTAAAAAAATCTGACATCTATGAGAAGTAGTTAATTTGCAACTAGGGCACTCTTAATTTTTATATCTTTTTGTATAATATTGACGTACAAAATACCTATGTGGTTATCTCTATAAACATAAATAAAGTCATGAACTTTATCTTTATAATGTAACTTTATTAGCTCAATATTTTGCTGTTACAGCTTCATCAGCAGCAATCAATACCCTACAAGTTAACTAACCTAGTTGTAGGATATCAGTAGCTCCTGACGGAGCTGAAATAGCTACATTCTAGAGACATAGGTCTGATTTTATTTATGTTTATAGAGATGTCTCTTAATAAATTCCAGTTTGTGTTAAACAAAGTTAATAATAATAATACCTATGTGGTTAATTTGTTGCGTAGCTTGTGTTTTCAGTGTTCTATTTGGTATTAAACATTGTAAGCTTACTTTTCTAGTTCATGATAGTATAGCAATAGAAGTACATATTTATATTTCAAATTTTCATCCATACATTTCTATATTTGTTCAAGAATGTGCTTAAATTTCAGGTTCGTGTTCATACTGTACTTAAACACCAGAAGCAGCAAGTTTCACCAAATGAAAATGCAAAGGAACAAGATATAAAAAGACTAGAAAAGACAGCAAACCATCTTGGAGAGAAAGTTGAAGAATTAAGGTAAGTCACTTGAAATATTATCTTTACAAATCTCTTTCTTAAGATTGATTCATGAGCCAACTTCATCACTTGAGTCCGGTGTTCTGTTGGTACTATAATTTGTTTAACTTCTCCAGTATAATTGCCTTGATAGATTGGGTATAGAACTCCCTTCCGCTCCTCTATTCTATAAGTATCTTTCCACTTTGTTTTGTGCTTGACTTTCTTCCGGGCATTGTCCCAAAGTTTCTGCAGTGAAGGGTCTTTCTTCTGTGCTTTCTTCAGCTCCTGCTAACCTAAGTTTGGGATATTGCCTTTTGACACTTGCAGGGGCTTGATGTCTTGTTTGCTCTTCTTTTATTGATCTCTGGTAGTGACAGCAGATGCTTAATCATCTTTCTGTCTAGTTCCTCAAAGTTTCTTCAACTTGGTATGTTTCCTGTCACCAAGTCCTGTATTGGTTCCTTGATGCACATGGCCTCAAGGTCTCCTACATAATATGGAGTATCCACCTTTATTTTTGCTATGGGAAATTTTGTCACTGTCCCATCAATTAGCCCACATAGACGTACCTTGCCTGTCATATGATCATCAGATACTAAACTGGTTCTCACTGTTGCACTACTGCACACAGTGTCTCGTAGAACCTTCACTTTCTTGTTCACAACATAGCCTTCACACATATTGGCATATTATGATTTGTTGGCACCTCTTGATATTTGTCACAAGCTCCCATCACTATTAGCACTGTTGATCTATTTGCTAATTTGAGCCAACCATTAGTTGTGCACTGATCAATCATGCTTTCTTGTATTGAATTTGACAGGTAGTCTTGATTCTCTTTCTTCTGGAAGCAGCATCCATAATGCCAGTCACTCTTTTCTTGTTTCTTACCAGCATCGGCTTTGTAAATAACTTCGGCTTTTTTATGTTGAGGTTTCTACTGTTGTTTGCTGGTAATGGACTTGCACTTTTCTGCAATTTGCCCCATTTTATAACAAACATAACATCTCTTCTTCCTACTGGCTATTAACTTTCTGTCACCTTTGATAAACTCCTGCTTCTGGTCATCCATTACTGGTTTCAAGTTTAACTGGACATTCTTGAACTTGCCAGTTATACTACCTCCATGGGCTTCCATATACTGTTCTGCCAGCTTGATCATTTTATCTACATCTTTTGGTGCTCTCTCCTTTAGGAACAGTGATATGTCAGTTGAACACGTGGTCATGAACTGTCATGTATATAGCACAATTTTAATCTCTACAGTATTTTCATTACTACCACAGTTGTGTATATATAGGCCTACTTATTTCCTCTGTCATTCACATTTTGTTCTATCAACATTTACCAATGTATAATCTTGGCTGTGGCTCGCCAAATGTCAGAATTTAAAAATCTGATCTTCTTCTTTTTGCCAACTGTAAAAATAAATGGCTTTTAATTATATTTCGTAATAGTATAAATATATACTATGTTCTTGTTGGGCTGAGGATTCTTCTACAGTGGGTGTCTGTGACTTGTTAGCAATAAATTCAACGATGAATAAACAGCACGCACTTCACTTGTTTTCAAAATAGTACATATATTCAGAACAAGTTAAACGTATGTACAATATATTCTTCAACACTATAGATATTATGGGCATATCATAAATACTATATATATAGTTCTCTCCTTGTCAAATATCCACTTAGTCCTATTCAATTACTTTAGAATTTCAGTTGACAAGCTGAACTATCTTCTCTATTTCTGTCGCACTAGTATTCTCTGTGATTCACTTACAATTGTGGCGCGAGTTCGAGTTACTGTAATCGTTTGGTCTTCTTTCTTCTGAAGATCCTCTGTTCCTTTTGTCAAAGTGCACTCAATCTGATTCAATTAATTGAGAACCATGCTTTGATGGAATAAAGTTATTTTTCTTATCTTGTTTTCTACTGTTAGTTTCACTCTACATATTAAACATTAGGCCTATGTCAATCGTTAGTCCTATCACTTCTTCGGTACTTAACTTCATGCCGAACTTTACTTGCCTGTAATTTTGCTCTCATTTGCTATTATCTATCTGCTGTTCCTGCTCATCTCATGCTATTTATATCTTTATCACTTAATCGTTCGTCCGCTTTCTATATTCTCGAAGTCGATGTATTGCATGTGACATTCGAAATTCTCAACATCAATGAATTATTAACACAACTTCCTACAATCATCTGCTTTTAACACTTATTATAACAAAAACTAAACAATAATAAAATATTCACTCACAAAAATAAATTAATCACTAATATCTAAACCAAACAGTCTTTTATATCATGACACATTGTTTTTTTGTCCATGTGCATTTCTATTTCTGTCTCTTTTTATGATTGGAATGGTTTGCTTTATCCTTATTCTGCAAGAATAATGTTGAGTGAATTACAATTAGAAAGATCCAGTGAATTATTTTTCTCTCTCACATCTCTTAAGTTGTAATGAGAGTGAAAATTTTATCAAAACTTTAAAATGAATTTTAGTTGAAAGCTTATTTAGTTGAATATACTAATAATGCATTCCATCAGTATCTATGGGCTTTACTAGATGAGAGAGAGAATTATAATAATTGAGAGCACAATATTTGAGTTTAAAAAATTGGGTCTCAATAATTGAATGCTAAAAAAAGTAGAAGTTTTATTTGTGCATCAGTAAGTATTTGCAGTCAATTTTTTTTTTTCAGCACACAACTAAAATCTGTACAGTTGGAGTATGATGCACTTCAGAAAGAACATGATAGATTGTTACAGCGACATGGCAAAATAGTGGAAGAATTGCGGAACAAAAGTCAGTCATGGACTCAGAGGTTAGCTACTTTCTATTTTCTTTCCAATATTCGGTTACCAATTAAATTTACATGAAATTGAAAAGCACTTTTATCATAACCTACATTAAGCAAAATAATCTTAATTTCCTCAAAGTAAAAATATAATTAATATCCACCCCAAATTTTAAACTCACAATTAATGTCAGTTAGATTAATGCAATTCACTATCGTAAACCTGCAAAATATTATTTACTTAAATCCTAAAGTTCAGTCTAAATATGAACTTAAATATGCTCATTTTGTCAGTAAGTAATGGATTATGTAATCTGCTTTTCATCAAATTATATAATTAAAATGCACTACATAAATACCATTTTATCATCAATAGTGAATGCATGATGAAAATTTATGTTCTTGGAAAAGTTGAATGCATCTGATTGAAATTACTGTTATCAACATATATTTTTTTTTTAAATATATGGACCAGATATTAAAATATATAAATAAAAAACCTTGTTTATGAGCCAAATAATCTTGGGAAACTCGTAGGGAGTTCCGTTTGATAATCACTTGTTTGATATTTTTTATGTTATTGCAAGGAAGGAAACTTCAAATATCTTACTTTTGATAAACTCCCATTTGCTTTTAGCTCAGAAAAGGCATATTGGATACAATACAATAAATTTTATTAATTACTTTTGAAACACATCAAATTAGGTCACCTATGCTGGATACATATGGTCAGGAAAATGTATAACATTCTCTTTGTGTCTTAGACAGATTTTTTAAAGAATTATTTAGGTAGTTTTTAACTCTCTCAGCACGGGCTCATTACCATTTTGTGCTTATTATAGTTATTATGCTATAACTTTTAAATTAGTAAGTGTATTTTCACGAAAGATTGCAGATTTTTATGATATTAACCTTTCAGCCGTGCCTGGCTAACATTACAGAAGTTTCAAAGACGTGGCACTTGTGTACTCACGTTACCATATCCAAGAATATAAAACTGACCTTTACAAAGTTACCTGCTTGACTATGCTCTAGTGGACTAGTATTTTGTAAAATAGTCATATTTTGGTTATAGTACATTATATATGCATATACATTATAACTATTTACAAACAAGTTCTTAAATTTCAGTTATTTTTCTTAAAACATAGTAGATAAAGAAGTATAGCAAACAATTATCTCTTCTAGTTATGAATTTTGTATCATTTGCTACTTGCTGTAAGTTGCTAAGCCTTATCAAATTTCACACGTGGAGGATGTGAAACAAAATAATTTGTTAGGTTTTATATATACATTTTGAAATAACCAAAAATCATAATTTATTATATCAATAACATAGAATTCCACTATAATTTATTAAGCTTAGTAACTAAGCTGTATTTGGGTGTAAAAAAAAATGAAATTTGAGCTCTCTAATGTCTTACCTTACCACTTAGAATCTAGCATGAATTACAAATTTTAATGCTTTTATTAATCCAAATTTCATAGTATGAAATGCAACCTGTGGGGTTGCCATCTTTTTCTTTTTTTTTTCTTTTTGCCTCCTTTTATGTATTTATTCAAAATAAGTCCTAAATAAATCTACTCATCTGTTTAGTAAGTCAACACCTGTTATTATGGCAGTTAAAACATATTTATTCGTTGATGTGTACTTGAATGCTTGAAGTAAGATTTGTTATAAGATGTACATTATTATTATTATTAGACAAGCAAAACTTGCAAATGAACGAGATGCACTACAAAAGGAGCGTGATGAGCTAAGTTTTCAATTGAGATGTCAAAATGATGCTTTAGCAAGCTTGAGAGTAAGTAGAGATATAAGTCTTATTCTTTACTTTAAAAACAGGGGGAATGTAAATAATGTTTGTGCTCAAAAGATAGGATTGAAAACTGATGAAAAAGTAAGCAAGTAACATGAATTTCCAATTTTTATGTATGTGGTTTTTACATGAATAAAGGTTTTAGGCCTAATTATTCCTTCTAAATATAATAGGTACTTCATATATGTGGTTTCATTTGCACCATGAACTTGTTAATTAGTCAGATAACACACATAGTAAGATGTATGTATATCAATTCTGATAGCTATCATAATTCGAAGTATTTGTGTAAATTAGCATAATAATTTTATGAAAAAGTAAAAACTAAACCATATGTTGAATCAGTGTTTGAACTGGTTGCTGTTTGTTAGTATTAGATTTAAAATGGTAATGAAATGAGCCAGTCATTTATATGCATATGCATTTTTTTATGTATGACTAACATTTAATATAGTGGTTCATATGTGTGTCAGTGGTTGGAAGTATTTTTTAAACATTTCTTTAAAATTTTACATTATGCATTATATTACAATGGCACTTGCAACCAGCATGTGTGAATGTTATGTTGATGTTATATTGACCAGAAAAATATGATCTTCAATGGTTTGGTAATTATCCTTTATATCCATGCTCATTATTTATATATATATATATATTCTCATTGCTTATGAGACCGAACAAGTATTTAAAAATGAATAATAGCTACTACATTATATCAGTAGATAAAGAAAATCTTTATTTTAATTGTTTATTTCATTGTTGTTAAAGTAATGTACAGAAAATTAAGCTAACTTTTGTTTCCTTACATTGAAAACAAAATGTTTCTCATTTCTTTTTCTTTAATAATTTTTATTTTAGGAACAATTTATGCTCACAGAGAAGGAGTTCAAAATAGAAATAGACACATTACAAAAACAGCTAGAAAATGCAGATAGAGAAATATCTCGTCTTCAGAGAGATCAACAGAAATCCTCTTCTTCCATGTGGTCCTCTCAAGAAGAGTCTTTTGATATCTCGTCTCAGGAGAGACAGGAAGGAGAGGTAAGCTTACGATAAGTAGGGGAAAAGGTAAGAATGATTGGACTCAATGGAGATAGATACACGTACAACAATTAATGGTTTGACTATTAAGTAGTGATACAGTAGTTGGTCAAGGTAATTATTTCTGATGTAACGTTTGAACATTGTACATCACTAACTGAGAGTGTACTTTCTAAGAATGTGAGAAAAAGTTAATTTCACATATTGCAATATAGAATAATGGTGTGCATGCACTATAAGTAAATTTGACCTTTGATATTTGTAATAATATTGTTAGATAAACTGTTTGTACTTTTAACTGGTTCATCAGACTACATACCTTCATTATCCATCAATTTTTTTGTGCATAATGATTAAAATTAATTATGTGCAGCTATTTACTATAAGTGTTATTGTAGCTGTAACCAATGACAAAAGTACAAAAAAAACTGACACACTCTATGTATCTCAGAGCTGTAAATTGAGAATTAACTACCTATAATTACATGCTTAAATATCAGAACTTAACCTATTCATGTAACTTAAAAAGTATTCAAAGAAATTTAAATTTTTCAGTGTTCTACTCAACAACTTATCATGATATTAAAATTGTGTCATTGAATTTACCTTTATCAGTTTAAGATTAGTTATATCTTAATATTATTATTAATATTTATGATAGTTACTTTACTGAGTTACTTTAAATATCATACAAAGTTTTAACTTGTATTTTTAGGGCTCAGAATCCACAGAAACAGAAGCCAGTGGTGATATGAAGGCAAGCATGAAAGTATGTCATCTTTTGACACTTAATAAAGTAATGCAAGTGAAGCCTTGGACAAGAATCTTTTTTTAGCAACACACACAGCACTTTTTTTTTTGAGTAGTTCTTGCTAGTTTTATATTAACTTGATTTACATCTGAGTTGTTTTTTTTTAAATGTACTATTCTTGTTGCTATAAAGGCTACTGATTTAAACCACATATTCTAGAGGTACTAGCAAACCTGTGGGCCTATGGCCTACATTTACAGGGCTGCTATAATGCAAATTTAATGTTTGAAATACAATTTTGTTCTTTTTCAATGTAATGATCATTACCACTATAATTCATGTTTCTTTAACCATATTATGAGCAGTAATTTGTAGTTCTACTTATTTACGTGCTCTAATGTAAATCAATGTCAAGTTTGGGGTTTGCTTTCAGGGAATCCCTGTAAATTTTGTTTTTCAAAATATGTGGGTTCCCTAAGGGGTTGAGTGAGAAGCTTTACCCTGGTACAAACCTTGGGGTATAGAAAATTCATTTGGCACAATTTAAAAGTTGGTTAGTCCAACAGTTTTGGAGAAGGTTTTTTGAAAAACCCCCAGGTTCCCCAAGGGATAAGTGAAAAATTTTACCTTTGTGCAAATCTTGGGACTGAGACGATTCCCTTGGTACCACTTAGAAGTTGGTATGGTCAGCAGTTTAGGAAGTGTTACATGACACACATAGTTAGACAATCTTGAACTACTATTTTGCACTTTTTCAGTTTAATGATCATTGAATCATTGCTACTATAATGCTAATTTAATTTCTTTAACCAAGTTATGAATGATAGTTAGTAGTGCTACTTATTTACGTGCTCTAATGTAAATAAATACCAAGTATGGGATCTATTTTTGGGAATCCTCGTTAATGTTTTCTCAAAATACCCAAGTTCCCTAAGGGGTTGGATGAAAAGTTTTACCTTTGTGCAAACCTCAGGGCTGAGACAATTGGTTTGGCATTTATGAATTGGTGAGTCCAGCAGTTAGGAGAAGGGGTTTGGGGGAATCTATTGGTGGGGGTTGGGTGATAAAGTTTACCTTTGTACAAACTTCAGGATGAAGATGATTTTGTGGCACCATTTAGACGTTGGTACGACCAGCAGTTTAGGAGTTATGTGACACACAAACAGTGAATCTTATTATATACATTGCAGAATTCTTTATTGTGAAGGCTGTAGGAAATTATACTGTATATTCGAGATAATTTCTTTACAACTCTTGATTCATATGTTTAATTCACTTAAGGTCGGAATGACAGTTTGGAAATGATGGTCTATAAGACATATTAGAGGTGTGTTTTGTTTGTGAAACCAAAATCAAATGATACTTTGAGCAGGAGTGTCATGTTACATATCTTGTAATGCAGTGAAATTGATTTGATTGTATCTTTTGATGTTACTACCAACATACATATATCTATTTTTATTGACAGGCTTTGTCTCTAGCAACTATACCAACAGGTGGATTTACTCCTTTAGAACAACTGATTTATTCAAGAGATGGATCTGAGAGTGAGTGTTGGCTTTCTTTATCTAGTGCTGTAATTCATTCATTCCCCAGCTGCAATTATTGGACTTAATTTACAAAGACATCTACTAAACTTAGGATGTATATGTGTAATTACTTTATAAAATACTTTTATTTCTTTTATTTAGAGAATTTTTTATTATTGGGCTTGTGAAGGGGATTTTAATAATATATAAATTAATGTATTTACTGAAGAAATTAACTGTACTGGTTAATGAGTTGTGTACAGAGTTTTAAACTGGATATATGACTTCATATATTTATGAATCATTAACTGATGCTTTTTTTTTCAATTTTAAATCACATATTACTACATTGTACAAGAATGCTTATGTAAACATTTGTATATTTTTCAGCTCCAACAGGTCTGATATTTCAGCATGATTCAGGAGCTTTTTCATCTACATCAAATACTGCACAAAAGAAACTCGAACATGTTACAGAGGTTAGTGTTACCTGTTTAGGCAGTTTTTAGACAATGATATTCAAAATCAGATATCTTGTATCCTTTGATGTGTTGTTCATCAGGACAGAATTGTTTATCATGTTAATACACAGGTAGTTTAGTAGATATTAGTTGTGCTTTTTTTTTTTTAATTTTCATATTATTCAGACTGGTTTGGCTTGGCCCTTGTGGTTTGTGTGCTCAAGTCATAAGTTTGAAGCTATCACTGACCGTGCTCATTTTTTCAGCCTTGAAGGCATTATAATGTGGTAGCCAATCCCACTGTTTGGTTGGAGTAGTCCAAGAGTTGGTGGTGGGTAGTATTGACTATATGAGATTTTAATCAAAGAAACAGAAAAAATCAACAGATTTTCAAAACAAACAAAGATGAGTATGAGCTTATAAAGAAAATGGATGGCAGGAGAGAGGAATTAAGATGAATAGAGAGGAAAACCATACAAGAGGAAGTTGAATATACTGAGTTAACAAAGATAGTATGGAAGAAAAGAAGAAACCGGAGCAAGAAAAAGAAGGATAAAAAAAGATTGAAAATATCTTAAAAGAATAGGAAAGCACCAGGAAACGATATGATCACCAGTGATATTTTGAAAGCAGGTGGAACTGAAACATTAAGGCAGATAACAAAATTGTTTAACAAAATATTAGAGTCAAAAAAGATGGCAAAGAAATAGAAAGAGGCCAAAATCATCATTTATATAAGAGGGAAAACAAGCAAGATATAAAGAATTACCATCACATAAGCCTATTGTCTTACTTATATTAACTATTCACAAGAGTACTACAAAAAAAGATTGAAAAGAATTTTTTACAAACACCAACCAAGAGAACAAACAGGCTTTAGGAAGAATTTCTCAATAACAGATCATTTACATGCAACTAACCAAATAATAGAAAAATCAAATGAATACAACTTACCTTTATGTGTGGGATTTATAGATTATGAAAAAGTATTTGACTCTGTAGAACACGGTGCAATATTAAATGCTTTAGCTAGAATAGTGGTCAATCTAACATACATCGAAATCTTAAGAGATATATACACAGATGCAGCAGCAAAATTAAATTTTGATAAAGAGGTGGCATCAGTGATAAAGATAGAGAGAGGGGTGAGACAGGGTGATACAATATCTCCGAAACTGTGTACAGCAACTTTTCAAGAAGTATTCAGACAAACTGAGCTAGAGAATGAAGGTATAAAAATAGATGGTGAGACATTAACAGATCTAAGGTTTGCAGATGATGTAGTTCCCTTTACAAATTCAACAAAAAAAAGATGGAAGCCCTATTAAACAGTTTGAATGCCAGAGTAAGAAAGCAGGATTAAAAATACACAATGGAAAACCAAATATATGACCAACTAACATGACACAGATACCATCAAAATTGAGAATGAAGAAATAGAGAAAGTGTCAGAATACAAATATTTAGGACAAACCCTCAAAATGGAAAACACAACAAGGGAAGAAATTATGGTAAGAATAAAGGCAATATGGTGATTGTTTTGGAATGTATAAAGAAATTCTAGAGGATCAAGATTTCCCCATTACTTTGAAGAAAAAGATCATGAATCAGTGTGTACTACCAACCTTAACATATGGTGGCCAAACGTGGGCACTAACAAAAGAGATAAGGAAAAAGATAAAACCACACAAAGATCTATGAAAAGAAAAATGCTTTATATAACACTACAAGACAGATGGAGAAATGATGGAATAAGAAAAACAAGAAATATAATAGACGCAGTAAGGTTCATTCTAAGAACGAAATGGGCTGGGCATGTAGCAAGGTATTCTGATAATAGGTGGACATTAAGAACAATGGAATGTCAACCTAAGACAAGGAAAAGATCTAAGGGAAGGCAAAAGAAAAGATGGAGGGACAGTATGGTGGCAGAAGCAAGAATTAGGAGGACATGGTATGCTAAGAATAGGAAATACTGGACTGATCTGACAGAGAGCTATATCCAATGTGAGATGACTGCAGCTTAGATAGATATATATATAGATAGTGTTGACTAGCTGCTTTTTCTATAGTCTTTAGCTTCTAAATTAGGGATGGCTGGTGCAATATATCATTCTGACTTAGGAAATATTTTGTGTTTTATTAATGTTTACACAGTAATTCTCTTATTTCTTAGTATTTTTTTATTGTAGATTATCTTGTGTTTTATTAATGTTTACATGGTAATTCTCTTTATTTCTTTATTGTAGATTATCTTTGGATTTTTTCATGATTCTTATTAAGAGTACTGAAACTATTGAACTATTTTTAAGCTAGAGTAGTCTTTATATTTTACACAATATGTTCATTTCCTGCTAGTTTAATTGATGGCTACTATAAAATAAAAAAGAAGTGTATATTTGAAATAAAAATGCTGTTTTATGGGATAGAAATAAAATTTTTAATTTTTTGGTTTCTAATATCATGTACAAGATTGCAACCACTAATTAAGATTAACTGAATGTTTAAGCACTAAGCAGTGTTAAATTTTACATTTTTGTGGTTGGTCAAAAAACAAATATTTGTTAAGAGATAATTATCAGGCTCCACTCAGTTCTAAATGTATAAATACTTGCAGCTTTTAGGTCTGGGATAAAATGAAATAAATTCCAAAATATTTGGCTTAAATTAGCATCCATGAATTATTTAGTGCCTTTTAATAACAAACTGTTAATTTAGCTTATGTACAAAAGCTTCCACTTATTTTACTAGCTTTTTCTGTATTCAGCTGTATAAGAATTAGCAGCATTATCAAAGACATAAAGCCATCAAACTTGATTCTCTCATGGTTGAACATTCATATTTGATTATTGAAACTCTTCCCAACTTATTCACGTTTGTTGAATGCTTTTTTTGTAGTTGCTGTAGTTTTATTGTCTATCTTTCACTGGAATATAATTTTTGTGTGTTTACTTCAAGCTGTTGTAACTACTCATCATGTATAGGACTTGTGACCTATTTACGATTCATATTCTTTTTTCTTTTTATATTCTAGATGCTTCAAAATGGAATTTGTTTTTATTTATATATATAAATTTAAGTAATGTTCACTAGGACTTAAAACATAATCCATGAAATATTTCACAAAAGTGTAAGTGAGCATTATCTTCTAATGTAGAAGAAACTTGACAAGATGAATCTATTTTAGTTTGTGGTAAAATATCAGTCAGAAGTTTGCACTACAGTGCATGCCTCAGCTCCTGGTAATGCTTTATCTTAAAGTTAATACACATGTATATCAAGTTTGATGTTTTTAATTTAGTGATGGAGCATATGCTTATGATATATTCTTAATATTGTTAATAACTAATGAGCCATGTAGAATTCTTATAAAGTTAATTTTATTACTTTAAGTTTCATTAATTTTAATTATTTTTTTATTAGTTGTTAAATGACAGTGAAGCTCATAGTTTACGTCTGACAGAACAAGTTCGAGTGTTGAAGGAAGAAATACGACGTTTAGAGAAGAATCGTGAGAGGGAAGAACATATTGCCAATATGGAATATTTAAAAAATGTCATGATTAAAGTAGGTGAAATTGTGTATGCTCACATATCATGTGTTAGTTGACTTTTCTCTATTTTAAAAAGATATGTAAACATTTTGTATTAATATTGATTTCTGTTCAAAATACTTATTTTATTGGTGGGAAATGTGTGTTGTCCAGTAAGTTTTGAACTTGCGTATTATTTTGTTTTACACTACCTTTAGATTTCAGTCAATTCTTTATGGCAAGATTTTATTTAATTAGCATAAATTACTTGTACTTAGCATAGGGATTTAAGGACCCCCTCATGATTCTCAATGGTCCAGTGTACTGATCAAGCTCCTCCATTACCATAAATTACTTTTATAGCTACCCCTAGGGGGGGCCTGTACACAAAAACAAACTGCATAAGGACACTCACTCATGATTCCTTAACTTGTGTACCACATTTGGTCCTGCTAGCTTGTGAGTCAGAGTATGAACACAGTTTCAAATATGGTACTTCTAGGATCCTGAAAAAGGCCAGAAACACAAAATCCAATTCTAGTTTTGGGTTTGATCATTTTCAAAACCTACTCCTAGACCCCATCATGGTTTAGCCCCCCCCCCCCCATTTGTAGAGGGCAGGTCTATACCCACAAAAAAAAGCATTAGAAAACCTGGACAAGTGTGCCAAATTTGGTTACACTAAGTTGTGAGTGGTGGTATGAACACAGTTTTATGCATGGTGCCCTGGGTGGGCCAGAAACAGGAAATCCAGTGCCAGAGATTTGGGTTCAGTGACCCTGAACACCTATTTTTAGACCCCATCATGCCTTTCTGACCTTCTAGACACATTTTAGTGTCCTAGGTAGGGGGCTATGCCATATAGATATAAGGAGGACCCCATACCACCCAAGTCGGCCAACTTTTGTCCTGTTACCTCCAAAAACTGTGGGATGAGTTCAGAAATAAACAAACACATACCTTCATACATTTCATGAGTTAATGATATATATATATATATATATATATATATGCATATTTGTCTTTAAATTCCATTGTGGAGCAATGTAAAGGTAATATTTAACACTAAATGTTAAGTGAAAAGCAGATATGTAAAAATTGACTCAGAGCCCAGGTCCTCTGGTTAACAGGACCAGTTCTCTACCTCTGAGTATGATCCACTATATTATGCTTTAATTGGTATCCAGACGAAATAATATAAAGTCTATAGATGATGAATAATAGTTGAATGTAAGACTTGTAGGGGAATATAGAAAAATACAAAGTTCAATTAAAGAAAATATATAAAATTTTCTTAATGTTGCATTGATAAAAGAAAAAATTAAATTAATGTTTTTCTCCTTGGTTAAAAAAAAATTAACAGAAAGTCCTTCACAATATTTTTGTATGAACTGATTTTGATTTGACATGTGTAAATTTTATATCTTATATGATGATTCATGCTTCAACTTGATTATAACTCATTGTATATAAAATTAAGCCAAGATTAGAAAAGTTCTTTCATTGTAGAGTTGGTAAATTTCATATACTAATTGCTCAAGAAATGGAGAAAGTTTAGCTACTAATGACCAACAACATGTCTATCTTGTCAATTAAATCTATGTTAATATTCTGCTTGTCAATTATTTCTACATTAATATTCTGTTGTACAAATAATTGAGCCATCTTGATGCAGTTTTATACACATCTTTGAACAGTTCATTTAGTAAAAAGATGACCAACTGAAGAAAGCAAACAATGTACAAGACGTTTTATATATTTTGGTTAAAAACATGACATGCAAGTGTTGAAGGGAGAAGTATGATGTTTGGAGAAAAATTGTAAGAGGGAAGAACATATTGCCAGTATGAAATGTTTAAAAAATATCATGATTGAAATAGATGAAATTGTGTATGCTCAAATATTGTTAGTTGATATCTCTATTTTGAAAAATATGTTTAACTATCCTTATCTTCAGTTGAAAGTAAAAATGAATAGAAAATGACTGCTTTGGCAGTCAAAAGGCATAAAAAAAATTTGAAGGGTTTATATATATATTGGCAAATACTTTATAAATAGGTAATGTTTTGGGTCACTGCCTTTCTTCAGACTATATATTTAAGTTTGAAGAATGGTGGTACCCTAAAATGATACCTATCAATAAATTATTTTGGCAATATCCTTTTCTTTGATGTCATGAAAAAATTAATGATAAAATATATTTTTTTAATATCAAAATATTCATTTTATGTATTTTATTAGGTGATGAAAGTGTAAGTAATGACCATCTTTTTTAAAAGGTTATGAAAGTAATTTCAGTACTGCAGAGCCACAACGAGACAGTATTTTGTAGTAATAAATATGTAGCAGATATTTGTCTAGGAATATTTTGTAAGTTTTATACATTTTTTACAAAACATTGCCTGAGAAAACAATTTGTAGCTGAATTGTAAATTGATTGCATTTAGGATTTTATATTACAGAACACTTACATAAGCATAGAAACAATTAATTTTTATACTTTTTCTATAAACTTTTATTTCAATGTGATAGAGATAAATTGAAGCTAATAAAAGTAAGAAAGTAAAATCTTGTTTTGTGTAATAGCTAATTTGAAATTTAGTGGTAATCCAGTGACCAATTAATATATCTTTCTTTAAAGTCAAAAACCACAAAACCGTTTTTTTTCTGGCAGATACAAATTTAAGGTATGTAAAATAGAATGTTCTCTCTTCTTTAAATTCTTAATGTTTCCTCTGAAGTTTGTTTTTGTCAATTTGATGATTGTATATTTAATTCTCATCATGATATTCTGTAATTTTTATGTTATAGTTCATTTCTCTGGAGATGGGAAGTGAGAAAGAAAGACTTGTGCCTGTTCTAACTACTATTCTTAAATTAAGTGCAGAGGAACAACAACAGTTGTATATGGTAGCCACAGGTACATTTTATTGAAATTTTGATTTATTGCTTCTTATAACATTTGTTTTTGTCAGAATGTATGACTAATCATTTATATTTTTATTTGTCACTTCAACAGATTATTAATACAATCTAGTAACATGATAATTGGAAATGCAGTTAGTAGATCTTTCTTGAATAATTCAAAAATTTTTATTGTGAGTATAGTCCCCTGGTGGGACAGCAGTAAGTTTATGGACTTAAGATGCTAAAATCTGGGGTTTGATTCTCCACGGTGGATACAGCGGACGCCCAATGTGTATAATCACTAAATGTTTTAATGGCTTTTGTATCTAAAGTATTATAATAATAATTGCTTAAACCAAGCTTTTGAATATTGTTAGATATGGTTTTGGTTTTATGTTATAATCTAGTTTTAATGTTAGGCTTCTAGTCTAGTTTCAAAGTTAACGTTTTGTCTAATGCCTTCTTAATTTTATTATTACAGGTGAGGCTGCAATTAGCAATTCCAAAAAAGGCTGGGGCAACTATTTACATAGATGGTCTGGCATGCTCTAGTCTGAGTATAAAACATTGTTTAAGCCAAGTTGCACTTCTGATTATCACCTGCCGTGATGCCTCACAAATGTGCTCTAGTATAGTAAAAGACAATTGTGTTTTCTTTGAAAAAGAGTCACAGAGTGACAAGCATTTATATCATTATACAGGTTTTTCATGTGGTTAAAATCTGCAGTTTTCTTTTGCTGCCATTTAAAGTGTTTAATCTTTATATATAAACTTTGAAAAAGAGCATTGATTAAGCTCCAGAAATGAAAATATCTTCCTAGTCATTATTTGATATGGTTGTAGCATGTTTTGAGGTTTGATTGTTATTTCATCCACTGCATTATATTGTGTTAGGACAAATTTTTTTCAAGTAATTTCAGACATCAACTTTAATAAAAACATATTTTTGATGTGATTGTTCATTGCAAAGTACAAATGTAATTTCCAACTCAGTCAAATCTTTCAACTTGTTTTGCAGTGTCTCACCCAGTTTCTTCTGATGCATTGTACACTAATGATCTTAAAGTCTCCAGAATTCTGAATATTTTTAACCTGTAGAACATTGTAATTTTTATTACCAATAATAACATCTTCCATATATAAAGACAGACTCTAAGGTTTTACCTACACAGAAGAAACCATGATTTATCCAATATTCATTATTTGAGATGTTCAAAATAAAGCTTTGTGACTAGGCAATACATTTACTATTTTCATTATGTTAGAAAAACATGTAGGTTCAAGAAGTCTTGATAGAAATGAATTAAAAACCCTATAACTGAGCACTTTTGAAAGGTGAACTTTTCTTCTTCTGGAGCAAACTGTGTTCAAATTGTGTTCCAAAAATATAACTATGTAATTCTTAAACAGCTGTATTTCTTGTACAGCGAAATTTACATGTTTTAGAATAATTTGTCATTTGGTGTAGGTAGGGCTGTTGGGATTGAGTTTCAAGATACAATTTTCTGCTTTCCTTGTAGACACACAAAGAGTTGAAGTTATTTTTGTGCTGAAACGGAATCTTTTTAAAAAATTATCAGTGAGGTACAGATGATTTCAGTTTTAACAAATATTGAAATTCTCTTGAATTATATAGATCAACAAAAGAAAACAAAACATGAAATAATATAACAGTTTGTAGTAATGAAGTTTTTTAGGTATGGATTGTGTTAAGTATTGTATAGCATAGTCCAATCTTATGTAACATTCTATTTCCACAAAGTTTATAACAATAGTAATTAAAAAATGGGCTTGTTAAATTAAAAAAAAATTATAACAAAGTAAAACTGTATGTGTGTAGGTATAAAAATAAATTTGAGATGATACAGAAAAAAACTATGGAAGTAATAAGTGGATGCAAAAATGTAGGCATATTTGAAATTTTCAATTTAACTTTTTTGTTCATTTATCAGTTTTAATTTGCATTTCATGCAAACAAAAAGGTTTTGATACTAAGTGTTGTTAATTGTGAATCGTTTATTTGGTTATGCCATTTTGAAGCTCATTCTACAATTTTGTAGTTGGAGGGTTTGAGTGACTTGCTAGTTAATTTTGTTACAGTAAAAGAGGGAAGATAATAAATCAAAACTTGCAGAAGATAATAGCAACAATATTCGGTAATTAAGAACATGCTTTGAGAACTATTTTTAAATACTTAGAATATAATAACACAATCTACATAGTCATGTGAGCACAGTTATATTTAGTGTTGAGACAACTACTGATTTTTGGCTAGTCGGCAAGCTGCGCTTTAAAAGTTGACTTGTTTGACTAGTTGACATAAAATTGGTTTCTCACTAGTCATCTAGTTGTAGAGCATATCTACTGACTCACTAATGAAGATTGTTCTAATATAGTACTAATTCTTTTATCTTTGCATGAGAAAAAAAAACATTAGCCCATTTACCACTTTTTCAAATGAAACACAGTAATCATCCATCTTGATGTCTCTCGGGAAGATCAATTTCCATTTAGGCTATGACTAAACACATTAAAACATGGTTAATAGTATGACAATGTCTTGATACTAGTGTTACTAATATATAACACAGATTAGTTGTCAAATATTTAATCAGAGATTTATGGTATTACTTGAAAGTTTACTTCTCTGAGGGTTTATCCTATTAATCCTTCTTGCACAATATATGGACTATAATATTCAGTTACATGTTTTAGTCATATGACAGAAAGGGAAGAGTGTGTTCCAACCAAATCACAACAAACATTATTCCTAATATTCGTCTTAATTTGCTGTTGACTAGATGACTAGTTGTTTCAGAACTAGTTATATTTTTTGCCTCATAATCTTCATCAGATAATGCTGAGAATAGATAGCTGAAATTAGTAGGACCTGGAAGTCTATCAAATTTATATTTAAATTTTGTGTACTATATAGCAGTAGCATACTGTATAGTAAAGAAAACATTCCAAATACTATATATTTCTTTAATGCACTAGAAAATGTTCTTGGAGATAAAACAAAGTACATTTTATAAAATCCACCATAAGTAAAATATTTTGATTGGATGATAAGTTTTTAAGATAATTTTTGTATATTCTTCATCTTGTTAAATGTGTAAATAAATAAATATATATATATATATAATGGTACAATGTAATGCTGTGTATAATTTGGTAATTTCCACCATGTATAAGCTGACAGTTATGTGTCTTGATAATAGTTTGGTGCATTGTTCAGTGAATGCATTCACAATTTTTATACAGTTATGTATTTATGAAAACCATCAGAAAATATTCTAATGAAAAAAAAAAGTTGGCTGTCAGTATTAATTTGTTAAAGATCAAGTACACTATCAGAATTACTTTGAATATTAATTTTTAGTAAGGATTGTAGTATTGCTAGTTTGATCCCTAGAAGAACTACAAGATAGAAACAAAAGAAATAGGAGCCAACCCTTAAAAAATATGTGCATTATGTTTTATTGAGTAACAACTTTGAGGACAACTTTTAGATGGAGTAGCACTTGTTTTTACATCATCAGTGTTTTCAACTGTTAGCAGATCTATTCCCCATATTTTATGTAAGTAATTAGTTGTTGGTAAGGGATATGAAAGTCTTGAACATATGCAAGGTAAAAAAAAGTATATTTAAACAAATTCATTTGTAAACTGATCTTCACTCTTTTCTTAATGTGTATGTTGTGTTAAAAGAGGGTTAATAAATATTCAATTTCTGGCATAATCTCTATGTATTTGTTTTCTTGTTATTCTGAAATTTTCCACATCATCTTAAAATTCACTGGAAGGCCATCTTGTTTTTTTGAGTAAATTACTTGAATTTTCTTTTCATAACGGAGCATCAAGTGATTAAAATGATTACCTAGTATAATAAAAAGAAAAACAAACATATATACATGAATTCAAGATAGTCAGATATAAATGTTTTCAGGTTTTTGTGCATTTGTGAAGTTCAAAGATATGAACATCATCATCTTTTTTTATACAATCTGGAATATATCATATTTGGGAAATTTAGGAAACTTTTTTTTACTGCCCCTGTAATATAGGTTTCCAGCATGAAGAACATAACATTTTGACCACACACCATTTGTGCTGCACAACACAGCCAATGAGACCTTTTGCTGAGTACTATGGCTCTTCAAGTTGGCTGAGAATACAACATAAAGTTTCTGTTGAAATGTCATTCATATCAGTCAGTTACAATATATCAGCTACACTTACATCTGCCAAACAATCTTACTGTACAACAAAGAAAGCACTACTTGCATTAGAGGTTTTTAAACGTTTTCACCACTATTTATATTGCAGATGTGAGGTTCATATGGAATGATGTACCTCTTACTGGAAATTGTGTATTATATACCCACTAAAGAAATATTTTCTGAAATTTATTAGCAGTCTTATTATGATGTAATGACACAAACTACCAATCAATAAATCAAACTCTGCCAGCATAAAGCATTGTAACAATAATAACTAATACATAGTAAAGGATTGAGATAAACTGTATTTTACCAGAGGCTTTGTGTATTGTATTCCTAGCAGACTTAAAGAACTCTGTTATTGAAAGAAAGGCCTTGCCAACAGTTACATGTAGCACACAAGGTGTGTGGTCGAGATGATGTTGTGTTTTTACTGGAAATCCATATCGTAGGGCCAGTAAAGAAAGATTTGTTAAATGTTATTATCAGTCTTATTTTGAGGTAATGGGTAATATCACTCAGGTTACCAATCTATAAAGCTAAAACTGGTTTTAGTACTCAGGAAGGCTAGTATGAAAGAAAAAGAGACGATGTTTTGGCGGCATTCTGAAACAGCAGGCTTGTATGAAGTTCATGTCAAACTGTTTGGTCACTGTACTGTGGCAGCTCCTTTTTTTTTTTTAAGTAGTTGATGAAACGTACATAGTTTACAGTGGTCATGGTACATAATCTACATCAATAGTATTTTGGTGTTTGGTTGCAAGTTTCAAGCAACAGTTGAAAATTGTTACATCCTAGTGGTAATCAATAACTTCACGAAGTGGGCTGAAGCATATTCAGTAGTATATGTATTTTCAAACAGTTACCAACACTGTGAACAGTGCATAGCTTACTTCAGTTAACCAGTGGAGATCTATGCTGATCAAGGAGTGAACCTTAACAGTAAGCTGCTTGTCAAGTTGTGTTAAGTACTGGTTGTAGTAAAGATTCTTGCTTCACTTTGTTATCCTTAGGGCGATGGTTTGGCTGAGCATCTTTGTAAGCTTGGATGGAATTGATATGGGTAATGATGACGTATATTGAACTGGTATATGTAATGATGGCATACCTTGCAATAGAGCAATAGCGTATATCAGTTATTCTCCAAACACGATAATGTTCAGATGTGAAGTTACACTCCCAGTATATCTCGAGTACAGTCTCCCATTGGCTGTAGAATTGCCAGAATATCCACAAGAATACATGGAGTGGTGTCAATCCACATTATTTGATTCACATATATTCGCACTTCAACTGATGTGAAAAGTAGCCGAAAGAAGAGAATGTGAAATAAGATGATGAAAGCACAACAGTTTGAACGAGGAGACTGGGTGTGGCTCAAGCATACTCCAGTAGCTCGTAAACCACTCAGATGTGGCTAGAATGGACCTTATTTTATTCTGTAGTGACTAATTCACCAAACTATGAGATTCAGCGTTCACGTAGGACACAATAGCGTGTTGAACACCTTGATAATCTGAAATTGTATGTTATTAAGTAGCCTCTGCAGCCTTGGCTTAACCAGGAGATGGATACTGAACAAGTTGAACACTGTTGATTATTACTCTTATCAGGTGGAACACGAAAATACAGAAAGAAACCACAAACCTTTCCTGGCTGTTTAAAGAAAGGAGAGTCAGAGGAATAGAAGGTGCTGCCTGAACAAGTAATCCGTGTAGACACGTGACTGCAACAATTTTTCAACAGTTTGTATGTCTAGAGGTGACCACTAGGGATTCAAAAACACCTGATAGCTGATATGGATACACCGTCCTTACCTTCGGAGATATTTGGTGGATTGTTTGTTTGTAGTTAAGCACAAAGAGCTATCTGTGCTCTTCCCACCACGGTATATTGAAAACGAGTTTCTAGCATTGTAAGCTTACAGACATACCGCTGTGCCAGTGGGGGGATATTTGGTGGATTTATGGATTAGAAAATATCTTCCATATATTTTTGTTATCCATTCGATACTGATTAATCGAAATAGTGCATGGTAATAGATAGTGGATCTAGAATGTCAACAGCTGGAAAGTTGTTGGTAATAGCTAGGATATTTGAAACATCATTGACCTATGTGATAAATTAATACATACTGTGACCAAAGTTTTAATTTATATACCTTCAACGCTTATATTGGCTTATTGCCATACAGAACTTATGTTCTGATTTTACGTGTTAAATATACCGTAAATGCATTACGCGTATGTGGTTAAAACCAAATATGCAGGTTGGTTAAAGGTAGGTCAGCATATGATAAAATGATCATATGTTTGCGCTGAAGAATGAATGTGCTAATTTTGAAATGGGTCCACGTGTGTAAAATTATCATACCCAAGTGTTGAAGATAGAAAGCATGAAATAAATAACAATGTGAAATATTGTTGCTGTCTCGAATGGTAGCACGATAAACTAAGTTTAATTTTTCACCTAAGAAAAGTAAAGAACGATAGTATTTATTTGCTGTTTTATTCCTTCGAAAATTCATTTACATTTATTTTGTGTTAGTAGCGTTGATTGTGTACACTCAAGATGGCGACACAGTACGTTGGTAGGTTCGATTTTTCAAGTTAAGCTATGAAAACATTTAACATTGAAACTGTGCTCCCATTGTTATTAAATATCCTGTCCAAAATCCTTGTGATAATATATTGCGTGAATAGGTACATACATGTGTATTGTAAACACTAACGAAAGCGCAGTAGCTTAAATATTGAAATTTGAGCATCTAATTATGAGAGAATAAGTGAACGAGCTGCTAAGATAAAAAAAAAAAGATTTATATCTTTTTAAAAAGTGAAGTTAAAATTGAGTTGCTTGTATAATTGTGTCTCCTTACAGTATGAATTGAGGTCGGTAAACCCCTTCCAGTGGTTCAGCTGTAAGGTTGAGGGTGATGGCTTACACTAAAAATCAGGCTTGGATGGATACTCGTGGTGGCACAGTGCAGATAACCAATTGTGCAGCTTTGCGCTTCAACACACACACAAAAGAAACTAACAAAATGCTCAGAAAAGCCAGATTTGGCAGTTACAGCGTAAAACAGTTAAAAACGAGTAAAGTTTAAGTTTTTTTTTCTAACCGTTT